ATGGCGATGCCCTTGGACGGAACGAACTTGTTCTCCCCAGGATCCAGGCCCCATGCCACGAGGGCGCGGTTGGCGTTCGGAGGCACATGGATGGCGGCGCCAACCTCGTTGTTGAGCTCTGACCGCTCAAAGATGCGGACTTTGTGGCCCGCACGGCGAAGCGAGATGCCGGCAGCCAGCCCTGCGATGCCGGCTCCGACGATGATCACATCGAGGGACTGGTCTTGGGTGAGGGCAGGCATGGTGATAGCAGTATGTGAGTAAGTGAATATGGGAATGCAACCAAGGCTCATAAAGGACTCATGCAATGAGACTGACAGGCAGAGCAGGACAAGACAGGACTAGGTAAGGAAGATACAGTGGCACAAAGGATCAAAAGCAGTCTTCCTGGCATACGGCGTGTTCCCAATAAGAAGGCAGAAGAAAGACACCACGGGGATTCGGGACCATGCAAGGTCTTTATCCCTGACGCAAGGATTACCATCTATCCCGGCTTTCACTGTCCGATAGCGGAATCTTCGCTATCACCACAACGCAGCATGGCGGAGGCTTTCGATACGACCCGTGATATGATTGTATACCCGGATACGTCGGCAGTAATGGATGAGACAAGCCATGTGTTAGGAGGCGAACTCCATTCCAAGCGTCTTGTCTGGTATGTGTTCCACGTCTTCCATGTTGGCCCCGATCTGGAATCAGAGCCTCCAAAGCTGAGTGGCCGAGAAACAACAAAAGAGTATCACCAACGGAATCTCACAACAGGAAAACCCACTAGTGAACTGGAGATTAAAAGGATGAACCCAGGAAGCACGCAAAGATCCCTCCGTGGAATAACCGTTGCCTTGCAAGATGTGTTCCACGGGCGGAAAGGTTGCGTTACCTTGGCCATCTAAACGAAGCAACGGAATCGTATGAGACTTAGCTCGGGGAGTTACGCTATCTCGGCCCTTGATCTCGATATTTTTTGGACCACAGCAAGGGGGGTCAACTTTGGTTGGAGCACACCTTCCTGGCCAAGACATGGGATCCAAGGGAAAATCGCAGACCGCAGGAGGTTGTCGACATAGCTCTCATATCACATTTCCCGGGCCTCTCTCTCTCTCGCATTATCAGATTGATGCTGATACCCGATAGTGGCAGAGACTTTGATTGATGTCAGGAAATACATGCAGGGGAGAGACAGTTGCGCTATGACCGAACGGCTGAGCTTAGCCGCTGTAACGTCAACTACCCAGGGGTGTTGAGTGCTCGAGCCCTCCCAAGACCCAAGGCCCCCTTGAGAGCATCTGTCAGTGGATTCGCTGGAGGATTGGCCGCTAACGGAGAAAGGTCGCTAGCGAGCCGTCCCGGAAGGGACCGTTGAGTTTTGAGATGAGTGGGGGAGCCCGTCAGGAAAAGGACATGACTCGAGTGTGCGAATCGCTTACAACTCATTGGTTTCGACACGGTACGAACAGCGCTGGAAATCGGTACCTGACAAGACTGACTGCTAGGCACGGCGTTCAACAACTAGCCCAGATCCAGCGAGGGTCTAGTGTAGCTGGAGAACACTGGACAGATCGATGATCACTGACTTTCTCCCAGGCTCTCCCTCGTCCTTCTCCGCAGTTGATAGCTCCCCTTGATCTTGAAGCTTTTCAGGATTAACGGGGGCCCTGGTCAAAGAAGGGAGAACCAGGAGAAGGCATTGGACCCCTTCTTCCCCAGCCGTTCTTTTCCTGATCCCTCCCCGCTCTCCAGACGAACGCAAGTCGCACACCTTTGCAATTTCGCCTACTCACCCCCACTGTATCCTGCCGTCTTAGTGGACTGGCCTGGACTTTAGCGTCCGCGAATAACGGCCTGGGTATGGTGTGTAATTGTCACGCCTGTTGGGTAACGGTAACTTTCGAAACTTTGGCGTTACGATCGGTGACAGGCGACCTTGTACGGGCTAGACACTTGATAATATCAGCATCTTCAAGCTCACTATTATTTCCCCAGTGTCATAGCAGGGCATGATATCCCCCAGTCCTTCATCAGAGACGCGTCAATTGCCCTCCCGACGTTACTTGCCTCGCGGCTAAGGCCTGGAACAGAGTTACCACAGGGGCTGGACAGTGTCATGTAGCGTTTTGTTGCCGCATTGTCCCTTTGGTAAGGAGCACTTACACAGGAACATTGTTGTTGGATGCATGGTGTTAAGGTATACCCAGAGAGATTGGATTTTTGCCTTAGCTTGCTTGTTCTTTCTTATTATGGCCCAAAGTGGCGGACGTTGCAGAAACGCATATGTTTGTTTTGGCCATCCAGATGAACATATACAATCTCCCTTTTGGCATCTTCGTATCTGTCGGCTGTTCTTCCGTCTCGGTACTTCATGTCACACACTTCTCTTCTCCCATTCTTGTCTGTGTCTCTCATGCAATTTCTCGGATAAGACAGTTTCTTCACCTTACACATTCAGTTCTTCCACCTTCCTTCGTCTCTGGGTCTGAACACTTCCACTGCTGTTGCTGCACACATCCATCCGCTCCAGACACTCGACATAATTCCACCAGCACCACGAGTTGAGTGAAGAAGGAAAAATGGCGGATACAGCAAGGGAGGCGGGATCTCCCCCAAGCACTGCTTCCGAGCATGACCAGCACCCGGAGAAGGGCGCGGTTCAGTCATCGCAGTTTGCTGCTTCGGATACCGCGTCTTCACGGAGCGAACCCAGGCCGCACCTTCACGCAAAGACCTTCTTGGCCGTCTTTGCCATCTGTGTGATCTACTTTGTTCAAATTTACAATGTCGTCGGCTGTGGAGCTGTAAGTGCCGATCCTTTCTCTCCCTTGTGTTCACTCCCCCCTGAGACATTCAGTCATGTATGATCCAGTGCACTGACTCCAACTCGTCACACACAGCAAACGAATACTATCGCTATCACACTCGGGAATGGAAGCACGGCTGACGGAGTATGGCTTTCGTCGTCGATTGCCATTGGCACAGCCGTGCTGAGTCCCATGTTCTCCCAATCGGCCGACTACTGGGGTCGTCGTTGGTTCTTGGTCATCTCTACCCTCATTGGTGCCGTTGGCTCCATCATCGTGGCCCGAGCTACGTCGATGAATATGGCCATTGCCGGCTTTGCCATCACTTCCATCAGTTACGGCGCTCAGCCCCTTCTCCACGCCGTCTCCTCTGAGGTGCTTCCGCGCCGTTACCGATCATGGGGCCAGGCTGCTGACCTCGTGGCCAACGGCTTCGGTGGTGTTGCCGCCCTGCTTTGCTCCGGCGCTTTCTCCCGTACTTCCAACGTCCCCTCCGAGGGCTTCCGAAACTTCTGGTACCTCGGCACCGGTCTCTTCCTCCTCGCCACCATCCTCTGCTTCGTCTTTTACAACCCCCCTCAAACCGAGCGTGAGAGGTCCTTCTCCTTCTCCGAGAAGCTCGGCAAGCTCGACTGGGTTGGCTACTTCCTCCTCAGCTCCGGCATCATCCTCTTCTGCATCGGCCTCTCCTGGTCCGGGAACCCGTTCCCATGGTCGGACGCCCACGTCTCCGCCACCTTCGGCGTCGGCATGGCGCTCATCATCGCCCTCGCCGTCTACGAGACCTTCTTCAAGAAGGACGGCATGTTCCACCACGGCCTGTTCAAGAACCGCAACTTCCCCATCGTGCTGGTCTGCCTCTTCTGCGAGGGTCTCGCCTTTTTCGGTGCCAACAACTATTTCGCCTTCCAAGTCGGCATGCTCTACGAGTCCGACGCCCTGCTCGTGACCACCCGCTACTCCATCACCATGATCGTCTCCATATTCTCCGCCGCCGCGGCGGGCCTGTACTGCGCCCACTACAAGCGCGTGCGCTGGATCACCGTCGCCTCCTTCGTCATCTTCGTCGTCTTCTTCGCTTGCATGTCCACTTCGGGTCTGGGAACCAACAGCCAGGTATGGGGATACCCCGTCATCCTCGGTACCTCGCTCGGCATGTCCCTCGTCGTCCTCGTCACCATCGCTCAGCTGTCTACGCCACCGGAACTCATCGCTATTGCTTCGGGTCTGGTCATCGGCCTCCGCTCCCTGGGCGGATCCGTCGGTCTGGCTATTTACAACGCGCTCTTCAACGGCGCCATGGGACATGTGGGTGATAACATCGCCAAAGCCGTGCTCCCTCTCGGGTTGCCGCCTCAGAGCGTGGGACCCTTCATCGGTGCCCTGGCTGATCACCATGAGGAGCTTATCCCCAAGATTGAGGGCGTGACGCCGCAGGTTATTGGGGCGGGAGTGCAGGCGCTTAAGGAGACGTTTGCTACAGGGTTCAGGAGGGTGTGGATCGCTGCGGCTTGCTTTGTTGCGCTGGCGGCGATTTTGTCGTGTTTCTTGATGGAGGAGGGCAAGGAGTTTAATATGCGGATTGATAATCCGATTGAGAAGGAGGGGGAGTTGTATAGTGATGTTGAGAGGGCCCCGCATGCTTAGGTCAGGTTATGATTGAAAGGCTTAACTGCCCCCTGGGTGATGATGATGGGTGTTCCATCATGACTGACGGGGATGAGTTGATGGAGTAGGTATGTTTTTGGTTTCTGTTTGCCTGTTCAAAGCCATCATGTGCACACAAAATGGATTCTTTGTTAGATCTTGGGATACCCTCTCACAAAACCTGTCTGTCAGCGTTGTGTGCTCTGTCTTTTGTTCCTCTTCCTTCAATCCTTTACATCTTTCTATTGTAATGCAATGCTAGACATGGAGAAACATGAACACTGTTCGTTCACATCCATCCACCTACCTGTTCACATGCATTTTTTGTGCCTGAGTTGCAGTCCATTATTGTGGTGCTTGCCTTTCTTCTCCTACGAAGAACAACATTGTGATTTTTTTTTTTTAAGGTCCATAACAACTCCATCGCTCTCTAGACCTAGGGACCCACCTCATCGGTTTCTAATATTCTCACTGTAAGTCTCGGTCTGCCTACCTAGTGGCTAGTGGTACCTACATAAACCATCCACCTACCCATTATCTACAACAACAAATAAAAGCGTGCGGTTGGCGTAGAGGTTGAACGCACCCACCAGCCTTCCACAAGGTCTCAGACCAGGGTAGACATTCCAATGGAGAAAGCGCGGGACCCAGATTCGAACCCCGGACCGCGCAATCATCCCGTCGTTTTCAGGCCGTTTCTTGCAATCTGGAAACTCTAAGGACATTCATCGTCGATATTTTTGTGAGGTCGGATACCCTCATTACTGTCGATCAGATGTCGACATCCCTGCGATGTATATTTCTCTTTTTTTTTTTTTAAGTGGTTTGTATGTACATATATAGGTACTTTCACATCTTCGGATGCTAGACGTAGAGACATGGGAACACTTGTTTGTTGCAGGTAGGTAGCGTTGCGCCGCCATAAGTTTAACGCCATTTGCGAGGCGTGCCAGCCCCAATTGGGACAAAAGACTTTCTTTTCTGTACACTTTGGAATCTGCTTGAACAGGGACAATAAGAGATTCTCTCGGAACCCCCGCCTTTACTCGGATATTTTTTTTTTTTTTTTTTTTTGTTCCAATTCTGTCGTCGAAAGTTAGGCAAGGTATGCTGGCAAGTCATCTAGCTCGCCTTCGCACCATACCTTACCATCTGTTTCCGTCCCAGCCACTTACCTCTAGTATCTCTTCGAGCTTCCTCACAATTTTCAGCAAAGAGCGCGCCGGATTGAAGTTTTGGTCGCATGGATCTCAATTCGGGTTTCGCAATTCCCACAATGAACTTTCCAACCATGGAGCCTAGGGAGAATCTCCCTAGAGGTATCCTCTTTAACGTAACGGCCAGTCAACAAACAGACTGCCCCCTAGCGGCCTTCTAGCGGCTTCACCATAACAGGCTCTTAGCTCAGGCGATTTAGCGCAGTCTTGAAGTTCTCTCCGTAGCATACCAGTCTGTCGGGATCCGAATGCGAATCTCTTGCCTCTTTGGTAGGGCCATGTAACGGGCGGTTTATCGAACGATGGGGCTCCCTGCCACAGTGGATTTTGTTCAGGTTTGTGACGGTTTGCAAGGCATTTTCTCAACACCGGCGAGGAATGTAAGATGAAAATCGATGAAAGATTGATACGATTCAGGGTTTCCACATTGGCTGGTTTAGCTACCTGCTACCTTACTCGGGCAAGAAGCTCGATAACGTTACGCACGTCGAGATGGTGGCGCCAAGATGCTTCCATCTCTTCACATGTTCTAAACGTCCATCAGACTGAACAAACAGTTCATGGAACTCGGACCGGCTACAAATTGCCCATTCTCCACCTCGTGTCGTGTATGTCCGTTGCGTTACATCCTCGCCGTCTTTTACCCTTCGCTAGAGTTCGCTACCCGCCAAATCGTAAGTTCCAGTGTCATGCATTCGCGATGCATTCGCGAGACTGCAAAGGAAGGGCAAAGAACAAGGACAAAACGGGAAAAGAAGCGAGCACGACGAGGCAGGCAAGGAAATCTAAGGCAGTGAAGGGTCTCTCTCCGCGTCTCGTTAAAGTTCTGATGGCACGCTTCGGCTAGACGCCAACGGTCCCAACAGGGGATCGTTCCCCTGCGAATATCAACCTAAGTCTCTTGCAGCGGGCAGCGGAAGGGTGTGCCGTCTTGTCAGGGGAAGATGGGATGTGGTTGGTTGGTTGGTACCGAGCGTTACGGTTCCGTTACGAAGACGTAATGTAATGGCGATACAAGGCGGTAACGCCGTGTTCGCTACCGGAATAGGGAGTGGTTACCCTTCGGGGGGACACTTGCTCACTTTTTGTTGCAGAACCGACGGGTGCATTTGCTAGGATGAAGACGAGAAAGATTTTCGATGTTTGAAACGGGAGATTTCCCACCATGGAGCGGGCCGATGAACAGGTCTGTCTGGTAAGGAGCCAAGATGAAATTGTTAGTGCATTCTTGCTTGACGTGCACTGCACTGCACGGACACTGAATGATACAACAGAAGGCACAACCATTGTGGCTTGCACTGGACGCCGTGCTGCTTGCGATTGCCGTCATTGATCACCTTTCATCACGAATCCCATCTCGTTGGGACGGTGGCCACAAAGCTAGGTACCTAGAGGTAGGTATTGCTGGTAACATCGACGTTGGCTGTCACTTTTTTTGTTTTTTTTTCTCTTTCTTTTCTTTCTCCCCCACCTCATCAGGGGCACCCTTCCTCTTGGCCTGTCCTTCTCCATCATCACCGTGATCGGAGCGAGGAAGTGAACGAGGTAGGGACTCTAGGCGACGACCAACCACTCGACTGGCCTTTCCCATGCCATCAGTGCTCCCATACACACCCCAGAAGAAGACAAGACAACGAAACGCAGGCCATTGACTGGATCCATCATCGATCACGAATCCATGGCGTATCATCATCCTCCCCTGCCCAGGCCAGTTCAACGCTGCTTCTTCCTCCAATTCGCTGCCTCGGCCGTCGTCAACACTTGCAACCAACCACCTTCCTGTTCAAGTGTCGATTGCCCGTCATATCTCGTTGTCGATAGCTCGTTCTGATATTGCGGCCAAGTCGAAACCACGTTGGTGATGGAAAGCACGGGGTCACAATGGCCTTGCTTCTCTTGAGGCTCTAGAGGTCTGACCCTCTTCGTTCTCCATCGAGATCCGCTGAGGAATTTCTTCTGATGAGCTCACCTCTCGGTTCTCGGCCGTCTCGGCCATCTTGGCCATCAAAGAAGCAATTTCAAACCGTTTTCGAGAGCGTGAACAAAATCAAGTTCAAGGATGACAGACTGGGAACCCCAAAAGATACGCGAGAAACGTGCTTCGGAAGGATCATGAAGCTTGCTTTCTGAAGTTCTCTCCGCGTGAGCACATGGCACTCGCCTATTGCTTTCGACCACTCATTCCGAAACAATGGTTCGTGCTAGCCATTCTTTGCATTCTTCACCCCATCTCTTTGTACCATACCCTTTGAGACGACTCCTTCCTTCCCCCACAACGGGCTTTGCTTCTTCACCTCAAGCGAGAGCGAGAAATGTTGGCTCTAGAGAGCACCAAGGTTTTTAACACATGATGGAATTTAGGAACAAGCTCGGAATGCAACCCACGTGCGTCGTCCTTGTTGACATGGTCCACTTCGAGTCTTCAACTCAAGCCCGTCTTGTTCCGAGTCCATCCTTCTTGTCCCTGACAAGAATTGCGGATTCGTGCTCGCTTGGGCTTCCATCATCCAAACAAGTCCTAGACCGTTAGGATATCCCGTATCCTTGTGATTTGGGAGCACGCAATGGCATGAGACATCTGAGAGCATCATGATTGTTGTTTTGATATTACCTTATAAAAAAAGGCCAATATCCCTTGCCTCAAACCATCCTCCCTGCAAAGACCAATCTGATTCATCAAGCCCAGCCGTGCAGCAGTCTGCCATCGAATCAGAACCCTCAAGGATTCTCATTGGCAAAGGTTAAAACGGGAAAATAAGCCGGGACAATGTACGTAACTCGGCTTTCCAAGCCCCCAACCCATACCCGTTCCTAGGTACACACTGCATGTTTCTAGGGTCATCCGTTCCTGAACACCTGCAACATTGATGGGCACACCAACCGTTCCAAGACATTGGCCCCCATGGACCCCATTCGGCCCCTCCCTGCCGTGCCAACCCTTTCCCTTACTCGCTTGAAGGCTTAGACTAGGGACTGGGCCAAGACAAGCCACAACCATCATTCGAAGAGGGTTTTGCATGAGCATATTGTGTGGGACATTTGTATGGGTGTATCAAGTCAGTCACAGAGGTCTAAACTCGGCGGACGAGACACATGCAAGCTCTGGTCGATCCATGGCCATCAAGACTTTGGCTCGGACGCTTGGTGAATCCTCCGTTCCGTTCCGTGCCCACCCCATCATCGTCTTCCTCTCTTTCTTTCTTAATACTCCAAGCCTGCCTACTTACCCACACTCGCTCGGCCTACCTACCGGTCTTGCATGTGTCTAGATGTCCATTCAATCTGCCCGTCCCAAATGACTCTTCCATTTTGACCCATCCAAAATCGCATGAGAATTTGTTACCATAACATATGTTATGCGTGATCTAATCTCTCATACGGTCGAGTAGTTCGGCAAAGCCACGAGCGAACGACACACACACACACTTGGGTCTAGACGACTACTACCGTGACGGATTACTACCCCTTCCTGCATTCTGCCCTCGGTCTTCGGTTACCAACCCAAGAAAGGGTAGACACACACAGACTGGTCCCTGGAAGAAGGAAAGAAGAAGAAAGCTAGAAGCTTTGGTAACTAGACGAACTTGAACGTGGCCCTGATATAAGGCCCGGGACGGACGCTGGAGACGTGCCGCACGTTTGTGGGAACCTGGAAGGACTTTTTCCCACCTTCTTCTGATTGCCGAAACCTTTCTTTCCTTCCTTGAGACTTTTCGACACTGTCAACAGTTTTCCACCTGACCAACAACATCAGCGTCTTCTCAACACACATAGACACACGAACATCAGGACAGCCACTCACCAGAGTCCCTCCTTTGACCAACATCAATACGCCACTGACTGGATCTGATCCACTCCACTCCACTCCTTCCGATCTATCTCCCCTTGAAGGGTGAGCAAACCTCGCGTCGAGAGTGACAACATCTACCACTGGTGACGAATCAAGAGAAGAATAACGACGAAGCCCCAGAGAATGCTATCCAGGCGATAGCCCAGCCAATCATCAACAACATGAAAACGTGGATCGCCCCTCCGGCCGTGGCGGTGGTGGTGGTGGATATCATTTTCACCACGCTGGCCTTCATTACTGTGTGCTTCCGACTGTTTACGAGGGTGGTTCTGGTCAAGAATGTTGGGTCGGATGATTACTATATTGTTGGGTCGATGGTGAGTTCTGCTTCCCTTCCTTTCCTAGTCGGTTGGTTGTTTGAAGGTGAATGGAGCTGGGGTTATCGCATGGGAAGAGCTGGAGAACAATGAAAGAAACGGACCGGGCCGCGCTTACGCCTTACGCCGCTTTTACCACGTGGTGGGTGGTGGTGATGTTTATCATGATCACGGTCTGCGGGAGGGACATGGAACAATAGGCTAGGCGGTGACGGGGATGAAGCTATTCCCCTGGTTGCTTGTTGGGTGTCGATCACTGCTTGATGGAGGTTTGGGAGGATGGAACTT